CGAGATTTTAAGGAACAAAAACTTGAGCTTATAGGATTTCCCTTGACTTTTTACAGGTACTTGTAGTAATGAATGGAACCGAAAACACGTGCTACCATAATCTAACACAGAACATCAAATTTTTATATGAATGGAAATATGAGATTTAGAGAAAGTTTAAAAGCAAAGAGGTTTAGCACAGATATTAGTTTCAGTAAGTTTTCATTGAAATGCTCAAGGTTATTTTCCATCCTTTGAGACCTCAGACAATACGGGATAGAACGGGTAGCGTGGAACAAATCGCTGGAAAATTTCCAGATGTGAATATGCGTGAGGTTTTTTTTTAGAATTACCTCCGTATCGTCTACGTCCAACGAGGTAGCACCAGCACCATTCACTGACTCCTCATAGCTGGGAGGTAGTTGTGGATATACTGACGATCAAGCGCATCAACATTGATTTTGAAGGGAGAGGTAAATTCTGCTTACATGGAGTTATAGAAGGTTGGGGAGAAACTGGAGTTTCTGATTTTTCCAGTGGAGGAGCAGAAGGTTCAACGGCCGAAGGTGCAGGAGAGTCAAGAGGAGGAGCAGATGGTTGCACATCCTTGTTGGCTGTATCTACAGGTACCGTACCCACTATAATCGGACAAGTGTCTTCAACTTTGCTATTCAAAGTTCCATTTGTTTCAAGTTTGATCTGGAAAAGAGTGATCAGAAGGCAAATGGTAGTAAGAGTTTTTATCCTTACATCCAATAGATATTCAACTTTGACTATCGGACAAGTGTCGAAAGAAGGCACAGTAGATGGAACTTGTAGGTAGACTTGAGCATTGCCCTTCTTGTAGCTGTCAATGAAAATTTCCTGAAGAAAAGGTGTATTGGGAGGCGGCATCGGATAGAATTGTATCTTTCTGTCATGCAGCTATACAGTGGATGTAGGCCTATATAACTAGATAACCTTTTGAAAAATTAGAACTTGTGATTTCTAAAATTGACTGCACTCCTATCAACATAGCTTGTAAAGATGCCGGATATGAATGAAAATCAAAATTTGCTTCTATGCCATCTGATGTAGATTTAAACGCTGATTCCAAATCTGGCTTCTCTGTTCGATACACTTCTATTCAAAAGAAGTTTTCAACGTTTCTATGTGCAAATAATACAATACCGCAAGTAGAATGAGCTTAATTTCCCTCCTTGGCCTAGTGGTTATAATGTCTGACTGACAATTTGCAAAAAAAAAAGTTCAAACCCCTCTCGTACCAAAGCTTATGCGAACAAGTTTTCCTGGAGAGGCGCCTTTTAATAGAAAAATTGGCAAAAAAGTTTTTCAAAGAAAGCAAAGAGATGTATACAATTTTTTAAATAGAGAAAATGGCAAAAAAGATTTCAAGACAAAAGCATAATCTTTCATCAGATTGTCAATTCATCGTCTCCCCTTATTAGATGCCCTCTCTTCGAACTTTTCTCTTGTTAAAGGTTTTACTTAGCGTAAGCTGACCTGCTCTCCGGTTGCTAGCTTTCTGCTAAGGGTTTGATGGTCACCACGGTCATTTATGAAAAATCCAGGCTGAAGTGTATCGCAGGTGTAGAAAGCCACATATTTCGAATTTTCTATTAGTTTCACCCGAGCCTGAAACACTACATAGTGCTTTGTAATGGAACC